TAAGAGCGGCGGGCCGCCGCTCCAAAATCTACATACAGGACACACTGTAAGACATTTTGTTGGTAGAACATTTATATATGCACATATTGTGATATAGTGATATGTAATGGGGAAAGAGTGAGCTCGATATCAGTAAAGTTTGCTGAATGTCTGTGTTGACAGCTTCTACCTGGCTGAGATCTCAATGGCGCTCGGTCACCTGCACCAGAAAGGCATCATCTATAGAGACCTGAAGCCTGAGAACATCATGCTCAACAACAACGGTACATGAATCTTACTGTCCATCACAAAAGGCTGATTAGAAAAACTTGAATTCTTTCTTCATGTAATCTGATCTGTAGTCTGTATATTTTGTAGTTTATAGTGTTCTTACTTTTGCTCTGTTGCCTTCTAGGACATGTGAAGTTGACAGACTTTGGTCTATGCAAAGAGTCCATCCATGACGGAACAGTCACCCACACCTTCTGTGGCACTATTGAATACATGTATGTCACACAATCATCATGCTGATTGATTCAGATTTTGCAGAGATCTCCACATCCAGTCACATTTCCTACTTCATACACAGGGTAGTGTATATGCTGTATCTTGATCATTCTCCTTTCTCAGGGCTCCAGAGATCCTAATGAGGAGTGGACATAACCGAGCAGTGGACTGGTGGAGTTTGGGAGCTCTCATGTATGACATGCTGACGGGAGCAGTAAGTGTACACCAGTCGATCCAATAGTAGCATTGCTAAAGAAAGTCAAACTGTTTATCACAGTGCTGCAGGCATCAAAAGGCAAAGTAAGGCAGGAAGCATTGGCTACTGTTGCTAACCGGTTTTTCTTTCCTTCTACTTTTTCATAGCCTCCATTCACTGGTGAAAACCGAAAGAAGACAATTGACAAAATCCTGAAATGCAAACTCAGCCTTCCACCTTACCTCACACAAGAAGCCAGGGACCTCCTGAAAAAGGTGAGCTGTAAGAGCCTTCCTTCTGCCCTGTGCTTCCCTGGATGTGTTGTCTGCTGACATTTGGGAGTGGCAGAAGAATAAGTCTCCAAACTTTCTCTTCCAGCTGCTGAAACGAAATGCCTCATTGCGACTCGGGGCTGGACCAGGAGATGCCGCTGAGGTCCAGGTAAATACACGAATTGAAAGCAGAGTCACAAATGGATGCATGCAGTGTGTTAACATATTGAATTAGGACTTAATATAATAACTCAGAAAATGAGAATGCTTCTTGGAAAATCTGGTGTCAGTCATGAAATGTAATTTTCTTTCCAAGGCCCACCCATTTTTTCGGCATATGAATTGGGATGACCTCCTCGCTCGCAAAGTAGAGCCCCCATTTAAACCTTTCCTGGTGAGTTTGTCTTGGTTTTTTTTGCAGCAACGTGCTCTAGTGACTATTCCTTGCAAGTTGATTAACTGACCAACTCCTTTTGGCAGCAATCGGCTGATGATGTCAGCCAGTTCGACTCCAAGTTCACCAGCCAGACTCCAGTGGACAGCCCTGATGACTCCACGCTCAGCGAAAGTGCCAATCAAGTCTTCCTGGTAACTAGTGCCATACCTGCCAGCAACAGAGTTTTGAGAATTTAACGAGTCATTTAAAGAATAATCCATGATAAAAACATGCCAAAATAGATAATTTTGTCTACAATGGTGTCACTTACTGAAGATAAACATTTTTGTTTGAAATGGTATTTTATCTCGTATTGTCTTATCTTTGTCAGTCTTGGAGTAAATGTAACTTCACAAGAGTAGCCACTGCCTAGTAGCACCTGGGAGAGTGATATGTATATCAAAGTAGTAAAAGTGATGAGGCATTAATCTCAGTTATAAGAACATAGCCTGGAGCCAATCAGAATTGAGAATTTTCTTTTTAGTGTCATTTAATTAATTTGAACTAATTTGTTTGCTGACGGATTTAGCACTTGCATTAAGAATTCATTTTGAGTAATACTCTTTTAATATTGAAATAAACTAAACTTAGAGTGCAGCATAGGCACACAATGTAAACAAACATACAAACAGAGACCAGCTCTGGACATAATGTTTTTTATTTTCTTTTCAACAACTGGGTCTTACGAGAATCAGTTAATGCATCCCATCTGGTTTAGTCTTGTTGGTTTTCCTGGAAGCTTCACTCACTGTTCCACCACATTGCATGATATGGTTTACTCAGCAGTTCATTGCTCATCATCAGCTGTGGGTTGTTTTTGGAAAGATGGTCTTTGAAGAGGTGGACTCAGATCTCTTTTTCCTTTTTTTTTTGTCCCTCACCCCTTCCCCAGGGTTTCACATATGTAGCCCCATCTGTGCTTGAAAATGTCAAAGAGAAGTTTTCTTTCGAACCAAAGGTCCGCTCACCGCGGAAGTTCCCTGGAAGCCCAAGAACACCTGTGAGGTAATAGCAAGTGTTGTTTTTCTCTCTGGTTTCATTGAATTTTACAGATTTTCCACACAGCAAGTCCTTTCCCACATCAATTACTCATTTGCTGACCTTGTAAATGTAGCCAAATGTAGCTTGACCTGAATAAAGCCATTATTAGAAGGGTAAATAAAAGGCATAATACAAATCCTTTCAGGGCTCAAAAATATTTCTTCATTATGGGTTAGATGGGTTTCAGCTGTGTAAAACTTGAGTTGAACTGAATTTACAGGAATTTGAGATAAAAGAAGGAAATTAATAAACTTGTGTCTGGATATCTGCTGACTATTTGAACAATAGTGTCTGTTGAAATCATTCCTCCATCAAACACAACAGCATTCACACCTGTCCTCTGGAGGATTTAGTTATTAGCCTCCAACTGTACCTGTGCGACACACATGACTGCCCACAAATAACAACTGGTGATTTACAGACAATAGCTCAGAGGAATAATCTTTCTCAATCTCTATCTTCCACAGTCCGGTAAAGTTTGTAGCAGGGGACTGCTGGCCCCGGGGACCCATGCTGACCCATCCATCCCTGCTGTCTCCCAGCAGCTCTGTGGATCAGCCCATGGAGGTGTCTACAGCAGAGCAGATGGACACGGGCAGCGGCAGCACCTCCGAGGCCTCCGCGCCGCTTCCCATCAGGCATCCTTCAGGCATCAATGCAGGGCCCTACAAAAAGCAGGCCTACCCCATGAACTCCAAGCGGCCAGAACATCTACGAATGAACCTATGACGCTCGGCTCGCCTCCAAACATTAGGACTCTTTCAATTCCTCCCCCTCTTCCCTTTTTATTGTTTTCTTTCAAAGAGACTTGTAGAATCTTTTTTTAATTGACTGACACTGTCAATGCTGATCACCAGCTCTTCCAGCAGCGCCTTCCCTTCTCTTCTCCTGACTCAGCCCGGCCTCCTCAGCCTGATGCAGATAATCAGCAGTTACAGTACATTAGATATGTGGTCAGTCGGAGGAGTGGTGTGAGCGAGGTGCTCTTCAATGAAAGTTGACTTAATTGCTGGCTTGGTGATGCCAACTGATGAGAGGTGGTTTCGGTGCACTCCACTGGCATTATCATATGATTTACTGGTGCTCTTTAATCGTCAAGTCTGGACAATGTTACTTTTAGTGTTTACAACTAGTGAGAGAGTCTGGTGGCAAGGGGCAGTCATTTCTCCCTCAGTATGCCAGGCTTCTTTTGTTTGTTTGTTTATTGATCATCTTGTGATGTGTGAAGAACTTTCAGGTTACACTGTCAGTAGGTAAAATTATTGGATAACAGCTCCACAATGAACACAGACAGTATCCATTTTTTATGTTTTAGGAAAACAATCACATTGCCTTTGTCACTGGAGCGTGTGGTCAGGAGTAGTTGGAGCACGACTTACGGAAAAGCAGCTATAAAAAGATAGAAGTGAAATTTTAGCTGAAAGCATCACTTCCACCACAATCAATACCAAATGCTGGCACTGCTTCACTTGTCCAACTGGAATGCTTTGTCTAGGTCGGTCCAGAAGCACTGTTTGGTTTCTTTTTTGAATGTAAACGGACTCTAAATGCCTTTTTGTGTGTCACTTCAATCTCCTGTGCTTAGCTCTAATGACCCCTACAGCATTACATTTAATTCATCTACTTGTGCAGCCCAATTTCTTCCGTTGTTGTTGGAGAACAACATTTTGACCCAAATATGCCCAGCCAGATCGATATCTTATGTGCTTGGATGGTTTACGTATGCTTTTTGTGCATTTACAGTAACAGGGCTATCAGTGGTAGGGGGGATAAAGCCAGAATTGATGTGAGTGGACCATCTACTAACTCCGGTTTGAGCTGACATGTATGATTGGTTTGTGTGTGTGAAGCTGCTTTATGAGCCTCTGGAGTCAAGCCATTCAAAACTTCTCACCATAAAACTGACCATGCAATTGGATGCAGATTCCCATGATGCTAACTGAAACTTGAAGGAATGAAAATTTGCTCAAGTTTGAATGGCTCCCTGATGTGTCTTGTTATCCAAATACGAGTGTTTAATGAATTGACCAAAAGGACTGTTTCAATTAACCAAATGATTATTGCTGGTAAAAGTCATATTTTAGATCATACTGACTTTGTTTTCCACACTGATGCTCACAGAGCCATTTTAATTTGTTTAATGTGTTTCTGTAAGTTATTTAGCAATTGTTTAACTGCTTAGATCTAGGTTCTAATATGGATCAGTGAGCTGATTGATTTTTCTTCTTCTACCATTCCGGTACAACAATTGTGTTTAAGACCAGTCACTCCACTTTTTACGCCACTTACTTTCTTTATTTGTTACAATATTTATTTCAAGTGCCATTGTGTTTCCACTGCATTGTTCGCACTATGCAAACTATGTATTTATTATGTAGTATTGTTTAGATAAGGCAGCAGAATGTCTAATCATTTGATTTGGAATTCTTGTCAGAGACTTATTTTGTCATGATAATAAGCATGTACAGTAAGATTTTATTTCCCTAGAATTGTCTTACAACAACCTCAGATGCAGCTTTTTTATTCCAAAATTGAGGACAGTTATCTAACCTTACAGTATTTATTGTGTGGCATAGAATCATGAGGGGAATTTTCACAAAACATTTTGATATCTTAGACTTTCCTTGCTGAAAACTTGAACTTCAGTTTCTTTTTGCAGTGCTTGAAGCAAGGGCAGTTATTGTGGAAAGAAACTGATGCAAAAACCAATGGGAATGGCATTGTGCCTTTGCTGACAGAGTGCAGAATGTATGCACAGTATGCTGAACATTGTGTGTAGATAAGGCTGGGATTGATCTACAAGGTTCACTTCCTGTTACTTCTCTAAAGGCTGTCAATTTATTTCAACAATTCATTGCGATATGATCAGACTCTCTGTTCTGAGAGGGGTTGGGAAACTAAAGAGGATTCATTTGGTTTCTGTTCAGGTATGCTTGAGAAGTATCCTTCACATTGAGATGGTTGAGAGCAGCCATCTTATTAAGCTTACTTCAGGTGGGAAACACCATCTGTGAGTAGAACTGGTGTTTAAATCTCTGGTGGGCATTGAATAACATTATTTCTGTTTGCTTCATCACCCCTAGATCTGCCCCCTGCGATGGGTAATGTTCATATGTATCATGTACATAATGAAGTCAAAATAAAGAAATAATGGATCTTGGTTTTGAGCAGTGGCCGTGTTACAGAATGGGTTGCACAAAGCATGGGTGAGGTGAGTTGGTTGCAGTAACAGCGCTTGATGCCACCAAATCCTAAACACTGGTCCTTTAAATGCTTAGCTGCTCAGCAAATGAGTGACTCATTTTGCAACATAAAACAAGTCACAAATATCATTCAAATGTAGATCTTTATTCAGATTAGATTTGGATCTCAATGGGTAAAAACAACAGTGAAATGATTTTCATACATAATAAAATAGATGTTTCTCCAAGTCTTTGGTTTATACAAAAAAATGAGGCTGCATCACCTCTATAGAAAAATAATTTATGTGTAAATCGATCTCACAAGCTCAGTTGCATCCTTTTTATCAGTTGTGTAAAAATAGCCACTGAAAGCAGAAGGCAAACTGTTCATTTATCCATCACATAAACTGATTCTTTAGCCTGCCATGTCCATTTTCAGTGCCTGGATGCAGGCTGGCAATGGTCTTGTCATTCCTGTGTACCGAGCTTCCTAAAGGCCTTTGCAGTATGCAAGTTGTCAGCCCTCCAATCTCATTTATTTGAACTCATTCAAGCTCAAAGATACATCTGAAGCAGAATTCAGTAAGCACTCCTGAGCAGAGGTATGCAGCTGCTTACCTCTACACTTTTATTGTTACAAATCAGACAAGATGCTTCCACAAATTTAGAAACACTGGATAAGAAAGGTTTCATGTTTTGCATGTTTGTCCAACCATATAAGGAAAAACCTGTTTAAAATACTTTATATATTTCTCTGATATCCCCATATTTACAAGTAGAAGAAACAGTGGAAGTAGACCAATTTGCTGCCCCACAAGGAAAGTTAAAGGTGAATAAAAGCAACACAACACGAAACAACTTAAAATAGAAAAATTAAAAAAACACTCGGGGGGGCATGAACATAATCAACTTTCTGTTGTCTGTGAGGGTACCATGTTGGTATGTACTGGTAAATAAGCCAGAAACATGCCTATCGTGGGTGCTAGTGTGTCTTTACTGACCTCGGCCCGCAGGGGGCACAGCCCTTAGCTGATTCAGGAAACAGTGTGTGCAACATTACTTTTCAGTGGGGTCTGAGAGCCACAGAAAAGTCACATATTAAATACAAGCTAATATCCATGTCCCACACCCAAAAACGTCCCACCTGTGCCTTTATCGATCAATAAATCTGCAGGTGTGGAGATGTGGCTCCATCCCTCCATTTGTAGACCTTCTCTGTGATCACGGTGCGGCAGAGAGGGCAGCTCTTCTCCCGGTTGAACCACAGAGCAATGCATTCATCACAGAATATGTGCTGCACAGCAGAAAAACAACAGCATGTCATGTCCTGCATCATAAATGACTAGATCTACATAACTTAGACATACTTCAGTTCATCTGTTACAGGAAAACATAAGGGGTCTGATAAGATGAATACATGGTTTATTATGATACTGTACATTTTCAGAATATTACAGGTTTTCTCTCTTGCTTCTGCTCCTTGAATATAAAGTTGTTATCTAAAGCACATGATTTCCTGCTAAACTGTAATAAAGTGTTATAACATCATTAAAGAGGAGGGATGTGTGCAACAGATGCCCGAAGGATCTTAATCTGCCCACAGAGCACAGCCAGAGCTTATCAATAATTTAAATTAAATCTACTACCAGCTACAGTGATAACAAAACAAAGCTGACCAATGGCGTGGTAATGACCGTGCAGTGCACACTTCTGTGGTTTTACCTGACAGAGTAGAGCCCGAGGCTCCCTGTACTCTCCCTGACAGATGGGGCAGACATCTCCAGCCTCGCTGCACTGACTCCTAGTGGCTGCTGAGCCTGTATGCTGAGAAACCAACGAAAAAACAAGACACCTCAATACAGCTGCTTACTGACTGGACATTTACTATTTAACAAAAGAAGTTGTTTACTACTGACCTCGCCCTTTAAAAATATCCTCACAGTTTTCATTAAAGACGTCCACTGCCCGTACAATCCTAAAAGCTAAAAGAGAAGAAAAAAGTAATTAAAGAAAGACTTCCACTTCTATATTTCAGCGTAAATACAATAAAGATCTATTGCTGGTTACTCTGACAGATCACACCTTCAGTATGAGGTAGACCAAAGCCAGCAAGACCCCCAGTGTGAGTCCAGGGGTGCCGTCAGCCTCCTGGTAGATGACCAGGTAGCGGAACCACAGTGAAACAGGAGCTATGCCCTGGTGGACCTGACCCAGCTCTTCAGCCAGCATCAGCCACCGCCCCTGGAGACATAGACACACACATTAAGAACTACTAAACAAGCTACACACACCATTAGAGGGAGATGTTCTTCTAGAAATCCACCCGTCTCACCTGGGTTCTGTAGGTCACCAGTGAAGATGGCAGCAGCAGAATAAGGCACTTAATCCCCATGAAGAGGAACTTTATTATGAAGTTGGTGATGCCGACAGCCCATAGAACCTCCCAGAAACCCAGAGGCTCAATGGCTGGACTGAGGAAGATGAGGCTGGAAGAAGGTTTACATTCAGGTTAAATGGTGTACGTTCATTTTAGCGTTGTCCACTGTATTCTAGGCTGAGTTCGTTTACTGACTGCAGTACAGGTGGACAGTATAAACATACACTGGTCAATATGCCATTATATAGATTTCATTATGCTGTTTGTACCAGTAAAGAATGCTATCTGATGTTTTAAGTCATGAGCTGTCAGGTCACTCAGAGTATAGAGCCATTACCACAGTGTATTCTGGTGGCTTACTCCAGAGAGACTAACTGAGGTTATATTCCAAGAACAGGCCACACAATCTTGTTGTTCAGGGCAACCAATGTGAGACAATGCTGTCACTCTTACCAATGGTAAAGTGTCTCAGTGAGAAAGGTGTAGTAAAGCAGGAGGGTGGAGGAGATCAGGAACACTAGCAGCCATACACACTGCAGCTTAGAGTGACGATCCTGAGGACGCACACGGGCAAATACACAGTTTAGGAATGTATCAGCGATGAAATGCATACGGAATCAACAATGGGTTCTGTTCTCGACTCACCTGAAGAAAGACTTGAGTTTGAATGCTTTTATTCACATATAGAAAAGTTGTGAAGAGGCCAACCCCAACGGCTAGACCTTGTGATTAAAGAGAAAGAGTATGATAATATGTCTCTAGTTCACAACTGCAATAACGGTGTTTGCTTGACTAGTACTCACCAAGAGCATGTTGGATGACCAGTTTAGCACACAGTATGATGAGGAAAGGAAGGCTCTTCTGCAGCCAGCGGAAGAGACAGCGAAGCTCAGACAAGGAAGTGCTGGGCTCTCCAGAGTCCAGATCAGAGTCAGACGGGTCAAGCTCAGGCTCCGAATTCGAGTGGTGCGGTGTCCGATTTTGTCCGTGTGACTGAGAATGGGAGTGGCTGTGGGAGTTGACTCTGCACCTCCTGGATGAGGCACCTCCACTGGACTCCCCAGCCCCACTGGTCATGGGTACCCGCACCTCACTGCTCTCAGGGCTGGCAGCAGCAGCAGCAGCAGCAGCACCGGGGGCTGGAGTCCTGGGAAGAAGCTCTGGTTGCAGAGTTAGGGATAAACCATTTCCTGCATGGGCGCCCCGCTCACTTGAATTAGGCTGCATTACAGTAGGAGACTCCCTCAGTTTCAGTGCTCTTCTGGAATCACTCCTTTGACACAAGAGACAAACCTTTGTAGTCACAATGTTTCCAGCATCAAATCTTAACAAATACCAATTGCTGTCAGTTATAGAAGCTGTACAGAACTAAAGCAGGCGGTATGTTGTGCTACAATTTCAATTAGGTAAAAGATATTAGGTTAGCTTTAGTTTTGTTAGCTAACTCAAACTGACTCGCTGCATTCAGTAGTGTTAAAGTGTTAAAACCTCCTCGACTCACCCAGCCAGGCCATGAATGGGTTTGAAAACTACAGCACTGAACGGTAATTAACTACACATCGGTTGCATCAGTCATTTTCAAGCAATAAACCGGAAAAATAGCGACAGACAGATAACAAGAAGTTGACCCCGTTTCCTCCTCAGCGAACTGGGCTTCCGTCGTTAGCATTAGCAGCTAACAGATGTTTTCTATCAGGCCACACTAGCGGCTGTAAAGGCTCAAGCTCACCTGTCATTCTGCACCCGGAGTTTCATGGTAAGCTCTGGGTCCCCATCTAATACAATGTCCAGGGCGCCAAACGAAACAAAAGCAAAAGTAAACCAAAAACAAAACTAAGCCTTTATGTTTCAGGCTAAGCCATAAGCTGGTCGTTCAGACATCTTCACGTTGTTTACGACAGCAGACGTCGCAAACTTCTTCTGTTGCAGTTTTACGGCGTGTCGGATGTAAAATGCTGCAATGGCTCCACCTATTGGAATAATTTTAAATGACATGCAACAGATTATGGCAATTAAGAACAATTAATACACTTACACTTATATAAATGTTTCTGTTGACTGTAGTAATTACTAATACGGTTTTATTTCTACACACCGCCATAATCTTGTTATTAATATCATTATTATTATATAATTTCTATTATTAGTCATTTAGCTCATAGGGAGGACCACCACTCATATTCTCTTAATCATTACGCACATTCTCAGGTTCTTTTTTTCTTCCCCTGTCTCTTTAATAATATTGAAAAATCCCCTCTACATGTATTACCATTTCTATTCTCCTTTTTCTTTCTCTTCCATCATGGCACAGTGCACTGCAGTAAACTGAGTTACCATGTGTGATCACTGAATACTAATGTATGACAGCATCAGTTATATCTGTTACTGCTTGACCTCTACAGAGGCTTCACACCTTATGAAAGGCCAAGAGTTTGTTATTGAACCAGATGGATGCAAGGTCACATACCCTCTAAGGAAATGCCAGTGTTGTTGCTGTCTGTGGCATTTGGCAGCCATTTATTATACTGACTGTATTTACGGTAGTGGAGTGAAAGGGACCTATCAATCTTTTAACCCCTGGAGGTCAGGATATGAGATCCTAACCTCCAGGGGTCATCACCTGCCCATCTGACAGCATAACTCTTTCCTTTGGGTACCTGTCTTTCCCTGGAGCCACCTGCACCCCAATCTGTACTCTCACTGAATTTTATCACAGTCACAAAAGAAAAAATAGGCAAGAAGTCCGTCATGTTCCTTATCCAAGGTATTACATTTTGTTCTGATAACAGGTGCTATATCTTGGGACATGTATATGTTTGACATAGTATCTTGTTAGGGAAAGAAATCTGGAAAAGATTTAAATGAAGACTCAAGATTAAAAGCTACAGCTGAGTAACGACTATATTTATTCACTGCTGTTTTTGTTCATACTGTCTTGATTTAGGAGCTCACATAGTAATTAACAGCACAGTGGAGTGAACGGGACATCTATCAGTCTGTTCAAATTCAACTCAAGTAACATATTCCTGTTGAGCAACCAAAACTTGAGAAAACAATCATCTACATCCCAAGTCATTCTAATCTACATATGTTATTAACACTAATGGCTGCTTGTTGTAATATTATTTTATTTCAGGGATAAAACATCACATTAAAATACTAATTTGTTATGCAAGTTACTTATATTTAGCATTCTGAGTGACAGTTGCACATATATACATGCCTAAGTTACGTGCGGTAAACTATTGTTATGTTATTTTTGTGACTTATCAATCAGTTTATATATTCATATATCCATATATATTGGGTAGGTTTAGTTTAATCTAGATAACAATCAGTGGTGGAAAGTCACTAAGTACATTTACTCAAGTAGAATGTTAAGGTATTTGTACTTTACTTGATTAGTCCTGTTTTATGCTACTTTATTATTCTACTCCCTAAATGTGTCTGACAGCTTTAGTTACTTTGCAGATTCCAGTGATTAATACATAATATAATCAGCTAATAAATGAGGATGTAATATTATGGATCAAGCTACCAGTATATAAAGTAGTTATGCTTACACATTAATGGATCTGCAACTATAATTAATGTAATATATATGATTCTGAAACGTGCTGTTCTGCAGACTGAGCCCATCCGGTAGTTTAAAGGTTTATATTTTGATGCTAATACTAATGTAGCTAGTTGATTTTTAATGCATGACTTTTACTTGTAACACACAATTTCTTCACTGTGAAACTGAGATTTTTAAAAGTAAGAGATGTCCATCATATTTAATGTGCGCATCACATGTGTTGACGATAGTAATCTCAGGAATGTCAAAGTCACAGGTTGTCATGTTTGATTGGCTGCCAGTCTGAAGTGGGCGGGTCTTACGTCTGCGGCAGATCTAAAGAGGCGCGAGCAGAGGAGAGTGCAACAGGAGAGCGCGAGTTTTGACCTCGCGACTGACGATGAACGATGACCCTCATCGTTGAAGTATTTGGTTCCGTTTCTGGCCGCCTGTATGTTGACCTGCATGAACCGGAACCGACTCCGAGCCAACGGCGGAAAGCTCCGAGCCGAGAGCTCACCTGGGTTTCAGGTAAGGTCTGCATCCTGGTCTTGTTGAGTGGCAACCACGGCATTCAGATTATGTCGTGGCCTGTTATTAACTAGTCCCTCCATAATGCAGTCCACAAGACCTAAAACAAAGTGTTCCCGGCACTAAGTGACTTTTACCAGTCAGTTCAGTAGACTTGTGTTCTCTCATCAGAGTAACTGGAAACACGTGTGTAAAGCGCAGTGCAGCCTGTCACAAACAAACACTGGTATTTAATTCCATTTGTCTTCTTCACTTTCAGAGTGCTGGTATCCTGTCACACTGACATGGCTTACTGAGACATTAGAATATGATGTAGATAATGTCATTAGTAGCACCTACCTTGATAAGTTAAAATGTCGGCTGTGATTTGAGAGGCTATTGTGTGTATTACTACTGCTACTGCCACTAATGGCTTGAAGTAATACTACTGTTATTACTAATGCTAGTAACAATACAATGCGCCTGAAACTTGAAATGTTGGCATCATTTTGCTACTTTGTTTTATTCTATGAGTGACCTTGATTTTAGAAGCTAAGTCTGTGTAACATAAAGTGTTAATTAATTACCTCCACTGAGGCATTGAATAAGTACGACGGAGTATTAGGGCCAGACTAAGAACATTTTTATTTTTATTTTTTTGGAAATTACGAAAATAAAATTATAATATTACGAGAATAAAGTCGTAATGTTCCGAGAATAAAGTCGTAATAAAAAAAAAGCTTCGATAGAGTCATCAAGATCTGACGTGAGCAGCTCAACCAAACAGCAGCCGCTGTTTGTCTCAGTCGTACTGTACAGTCAACAGGTAAACTGAAGTATTCATCATTTCGTCGTAAACAGTTTTGCTGGCTGAACGAACAGGCTGACAGTTCTCATAAATTACTACTTTATTCTCGCAATATTATGACTTTATTCTCGTAATATTACGACTTTATTCTCGTAATATTATGACTTTATTCTCGTAATATTACAATGTTCCACTATTATATTTCGTAGACCTAATATTATGATTTCTTCCTGCGTTATGTTACCGGCTTTATTCTCGCAATATTACGACTTATTCTCGCAATGTTTCGAATTTTATTCTCGCAATGTTACTAACTTTATTCTCGTTAGACTAT